ATTGTAAGGAATGACGCAAATCACCTCGTGAACTATACCATCGTTGCATGAACTCACGAATTTCCTTAAAAGTAAATTTACCACCTTCGAGCCCTTAAGGAGGAGAGAGAAAGAACAGCCAGCTCCTAAAATCATATCGGCGACGCAACATAACACTTCTAAATATAATTATCAGCCAAGATTTCAATACAGAAATTATCAAGCAGTCGCTACTAACTATCAAAAATGTCCTATTTGTATTTATAATTCTGATCATCAATTATTCCAATGCAAAAGCTTTACGAACCTTCCAGCAGATGCGAAATTGAGGACAATTTCGAAGCATAGCCTTTATCAGAACTGTTTATTCAAGCATTATGACAATAAATGTATTTTCACTAAATGGTGAAAAGAGTGCAACGGTGAACGTAATACTATACAATTCAAGATGCAATTGTCGGTCAATCAACTAAAGTCCACCACATGAATTCGACACCGCGCGTGCCAACTGCGGCAAACTAAGTGAAATGCAATAATATTTTACGTGAAATTTCGCACATTAACGCATTCCGCATTCTAACATACATGTTTATATATAGTAACACACACACACACACACACACACACACACACACACACACACACACACACACACATAAAATATATATATATATATATATATATATATTAAGATATAGATATAAGATTATTATACAGGCTGTTAATGTAAACAAAAATATCCTTGAAACCAGTGGTTTGGTTTCACTTATAGAACGTAAATTCAATGAATTTAAAAACAAAAACGCTATTTTCTTTCATAAAATTTAAAAAGTTTCTGTCCGACACCAACGTAAATTCATGGATACCCTATGCGCCCGAGTGGCGTGATCACTGTAAAGATCACCACCCGCGCTAGTTACCAACACAACATTCCAATAAAAACAATAGATACACATAACCTGTGATGTAACTTTTCTTTCATACTTTCATCCTGGCTTAGGACAGACAAAAATTGAGGAATTAAGGAAAAATTGAGATTTTACTAGAAAAAAATGTTGTTATTTTTCATTGAATTTACGATCTATAAGTGAAACCAAACCACTGCTTTCAAGGATAACGGTGTTTACACTTACAACCTGTATATAGTTATTATAACTATATAGGCATGAGACCGATATATCAAAACGTAACTAATAATGTTATGTTATCAAATATCATATCATATCGATAAACCTAAGTACAAAACCGTTATCAGATATCCAACCAAAACCATATACCTAACCAACGTACGAAAACGAAACCTAAACGCATAACGCAAACTGTGGAACGATCTCCCAAAATGAAAAACAGCCCACTAACTGATGACCTTCGTTCTTGCAACAATAGTTTAAATAAGTATAGAAAGAGATGAAGCGAATATGGATATCGTTGCGATGTTTTGGTAGTTACCACACAACGGTGCACATTGTGATTTATAATATATAGCTAAAGCAATAAATTTTGTGGCATTACTTGGGGGACGCCTATGTTCAGCAGTGGACTTGTGAAAAGCTGTAATGATGATGATGAAAGCAATAGAGTCGAATTTTAAATAGTTAAAATTGCCTAAATTTTAAATTTGTGTAGTTGGGAGAGTTATCAAATTTCAAATGATCTTTAGCTCATTAGGCGTATATATATAAATTATGTTTACTTCTTAAGAATACACTTTAATTACATATAGACTTTCAAATCAAACTCTGATCCTACGTCTCAATTTGAAAAAAAAAAATAGGTAACAAAATTATAGAAATAAATAAGGATACAATGAACGTAATTTTATCCACTACCCCATTATCATCCCGTGGGTGTCGTAAAAGGCGACATAAGGAAACATATCAGGAGATGGGCAACGTTTTCGTAACAAAGACTATTAACAGTGTGTCGTGAAGACACACGACAGAAGTGAAACTTTTATAATACAGGTTTACAGGGAATCATTTAAATTATTCATCAATGACTTTTATTTTTATGTAAATAAATTATGTATATCATTAATTTATTTACATAAAATTATTTATACATATGTGTCACAGTGCATCATCTTCTTCGATCTTAAGAAGAAATATTATCGGTTTAGTTTCTTGATTAGGTAATTGTCTATTATTTATATAACTTTATTAAACCACAGTTTTATGTTATGTCAACAAAAATATATAAATAAAAATTTACAAATTATTATTTTAAATAAACTAAATAATAAAATTTGACGTCTCCGTGGCACGGCAGCTTTGAATTAGTAGGTAATGTTTACACCCACTACTTTTCGTCATACAAAACGGTTACGGATCAGCATTTCAATCAAAGCCCTCCCATAAAAAGTTTCACTTCAAAAAACTGTGGTTGCCAACCCGCTTGCCAAGCGTGGCAACTATGTCAAATATCCCACCTATGATGCAATCTATGAGGAGGCCTACATGTTCAGCAGTGGACTTTAATAAGCTGTAACAGTTACGGTATAATTTATTACTGCATAACATTGAGTTTACAAAAATTATAATATATTAACTTACATGTTAACATATTAACATACATGGTCTTGTTCTTCAAGAAAGGTGACAACGCCCTCTTGAAGAACTACAGACCGATATCCCTTCTAAGCCGCGTCTACGTGCTGTTTTCGAGAGTCATTACGAATCGTCTCGCACGCAGACTCGACGACTTCCAGCTTCCCGAACAAGCCGGTTTTCGAAAAGGCTTTAGTACCATAGACCACATACATACCCTTCGGCAAATTGTACAGAAGTCCGAAGAGTACAATCTGCCACTCTGCCTGGCGTATGTGGACTATGCGAAAGCCTTTGATTCCGTCGAAATTTGGGCGGTGCTACAGTCTCTTCAGCGGTGCCAAGTTGACTGTCGGTATATCGAAGTGTTGAAGTGTTTGTACCGTAGGGCTACGATGGCTATCCGAGTACTGAAGCAAAGTATGAAACCTATCCAACTGCAGAGAGGTGTAAGACAGGGTGACGTTATTTCCCCGAAACTCTTCACCGCTGCGTTAGAAGACGTTTTCAAGCTACTGGACTGGAAAGGATACGGTATTAAAATCAATGGCGAGTACATCACTCACTTTCGATTTGCCGACGATATAGTCCTTATGGCAGAATCCCTGGAGGACTTAAGCACTATGCTCAATGACCTCAATTGTGCCTCCCAACGGATAGGTCTTAAGATGAACACGGACAAAACAAAGATCATATTTAATGTCCATGTCACACCTATGCCGGTAGTTGTTGGGAGCACTAAGCTCGAAGATGTTGACGAGTACGTTTACCTGGGACAAATAGTCCGGCTAGGTAAGTCCAACTTCGACCGAGAGGTCAATCGACGGATTCAACTCGGCTGGGCAGCGTTCGGGAAATTACGACACATCTTCTCGTCAGGTATACCTCAAAACCTGAAAACTAAGTTGTACAACCAGTGCGTGTTGCCAGTGATGACAACTGAGACGTGGTCCTTCACTGCTGGCCGTATGAGGACGCTCAAAGTTGCTCAGCGAGCTATGGAGAGGGCTATGCTCGGAGTTTCTTTGTGTGATAAACTTAAAAATGAAGATATCCGCAGTAGAACCAGAGTGACCGACACAGCCCAACGGATTAGTAAGCTGAAGTGGCAATGGGCCGGCCATATAGCTCGAAGAACCGTCAACCGTTGGGGAAAAAAGGTTCTCGAGTGGCAGCCTCGTACCGGTAGAGGAAGTGTAGGACGACCCCCCACTAGATGGAGTGACGACCTGGTAAAACATGCAGGAAGTCGATGGATGCAGGTGGCTCAGGACCGTGCTTTGTGGCATACCTTGGGGGAGGCCTATGTTCAGCAGTGGACTTGTAAAGGGCTGTAATGATGATGATGATGATGATGAACATACATGTTTAAATATTACATCTAAGATAACAATAACATTAGAACCTCTGACTTCTAAACTAGAATAATCTATGTAATTCATAAAATAAATGTTGCACTGGTAGTACAGTTTGCGGTTATGTTTCGGTTGGCGTTTGCACATTCAGTAGCAAACCATTACTATTGATATCAATATCTGAAAACGGTTTTCAATAACGATATGAAAACTAGATATCGGTTATGTAACCGTTGCAGATACAAACTGAAAACACCCATGCTTATAACTATACCAAATTCAATCATTCAATCATCTATGTAAATTAGTTTGTGAGAGACAGACATAGAGACACAGCACGGCACTGGCACGAACTTTTGGCACGAAGCAGTGATAGTGTTCCTAAATTGAAGTCCACGCGAGCGAAGGCGAAGCCGCGGTGAAGAAGTTGGTAACAAAATAAAAAGACGAAGTAATTGATAAACGTGTACTTTCATCGTTTAATTAATAAATATTAATGTTTTATATAACTAGTAACAAAAATAAAAAAGCTTTAACGTCCGTAGGTACTTCTAGTAAGAGTAGTAAAATGTAACTACTCTCACTAGAAGTACTACTACATTATAATGTGTTTGAAAAGGTAATGTAAAACTACCAAAAAAGTTTATTGACATAATATACAATTAGATTCAAAGAAATAATTTTACGTCTTGTTTCCATTTTCATAATGTACCTACGCGACTGATAAAATGTAGATTTTTTTTACACACAATATACAATAACATTGGTTACATTTTATGAATTTGTAATACATACGTCGGCTATGGCCATTTTAATGAAATAATATAGGTACAATTATTTATGTGTATGCGTAAGACATTATTAGACGCTATGTATGTAGGTACACGTGCACAGTAATATGATATTTAACAATGTAATTTAATATAACTTACGCTAAATTTGTATCCAATATGCAATCATTTCTAATATGTATTGTCATAGCTGGGAAAAAATTATTAATCATTAATTATTCTTACTCTTAAATATTAAATATGCAAGTTGTAACCCTTATTAGGTATGTTTGAGTAAGATAAAATTTGTTAATTATGTCTTCAAAATATAAGTATCTACTATCTATTTACTATAAAACTGCTACAAAATCTGCAACCCAACCTGTTCCGCCGTTGTTCATGTTTGTAATAAATACGATTTTAACATAGTTGTCTACACTCGTGTAATCCGCTGGCGTTTCTGAGCAATATGTTGATATTGTATTGCCATTTCTATCGACTAATTGTACGTAATTTTGATCACACACAATGCCAAGGTCAAATACTACGAAACGCAACATTAATCGCGACCCATAAGGAGTTTCAAGCTCCCATTCACAAATGTTCTTATGGCGGTATATCGCGGGGTACATCGGACTTGTAACTCGTCCCACTACATTGTGCAATTTACCGCCACACCCACGGCCCTTGTCGGTAACCACGTAGTTGGAGTCGAAAGTCACTTGATTTTTGTCAACGGGATGATTATATAAAAGCAAATTTCTGCCGGTAGAAAACACTGCTGTATATTCAGAGAATTCTTTAACAATCTTAAGTAAACTTGGAGCGCTACGCTTATCTCCATCGAATATTTCTAGATAGACGTCATTATTGTAATAATCAGGTGAAATAAAGAAAAAGTAGAGAGCTATTGTGTTATTTTCAGGAGCAGTTATGAGAGTGTAGCAATCTTTGTCTTCTTCTCCGTCTGTTGGGTACAGTGCTTTTAACCTACCTTGGGGATCTGTATAGTTTCTGCCACAGTACCCAGTAAAAACGAATTCAATTTCAAATCCTTTGTAACTGCGCCGATCTGCTTCTGACGTTGTTTGTAAATTAATTAGCACGTCTCCAGTGATGTATAAGTCGACGGATTTTTTATTTCCGCAAAGTTCTAAACTGCTGGGGAAGGTTTGCTCATAAAAATTTGAAACATCATAAAAGCTATTAGTTTGTGGGTTTAAAATAAATTCTTTGCCGATCGAAACGTTCTGAGAGTAAGGACTACTCGTTATTAGGAGACGATCATAGTTACACTTGTTTGTATTTGCGAAACCGGGTCGCAAGTCTAGGTTTCTTACAGTAAGACGCACTGTACTGTATATCTCAGCGTGAGAGTCTAAACGGTAAGAACAATGTAGACCGCGTGGAATATAGCCCGTATCGTAACGAGGAGATTTTAAAATTTGCATATTATGAGTAACAGGATACAAAGATCGACCACATATCGATTCTTTTGCAGTTAATGTGATTTCGAAGCCCGAGCTAGCAATTTCACCGTCAGTTTTTAGGCGTATTAACATATGATTAAGCGAGGAATGTATTTGTGGAGGCAAAGTGTGACCACAATAAGTGTCTATTACTAAACTGTCCGGATTTAAGCCATCTCTTATTTCTACTAAATCACAATCACATTTACTCATGCCTAGAGCAGTTTGATTTACATTGTGACAAGATGATATGTGGAAAGATATGAATTCAACAGTAACGACATACCCTTCTGGGGCATTGATATACCAACTGCAGTCCAGGTAACTTTCATATACAACACTGTTTCCAATGAGAGGCGATTTTAAAGTTTGACTTGATGTTGGAGCTAAATTGATTTGTCCTCCACATCCAGCCGATTCCGAGAAAGTAAATATAACTTCAACTTGAAATCCTTTATATGAAACGCTGCTATCAGTGACGAATTGGAGGACCATTTCATTACTCGCGCTTTTAATAACTGTACTAGAATTTACACGACCACACATAAGTGCAAGACGTTTATTTATATCTATGATCAATCCATCATAAGCTGCTATATAATCATTATAGCACTCTGAATTACTTTCAAGGTCAATGTAAAGAAAACGTAATACAACTATTTTGTTAACAGGTGCTTCTATTATCCATGTACAATTTAAATTATTTTCGTACTTGTCAAAAGTAATAACCGTATTGTTGTTGATATTACCCCCACAAGAATAGATAGAATATACTAATTTAAATCCTTTTCTATTGCTATATCTGTCGGTGCTGAAAAGCACTTGAACATCAGCGACATTTTGTATAAGTGGAGGGAGTTCTTTCCCACAATATACTTGATATATATAGTCATTTGGACTATGAGCAGTTATAGTGACATTATCATATTCGCATAATGGATACGTGCCTTCAATATCAAAATTTAGGAATTTAACTTTTATGTTATTGTCAACAGCCAGTATTCGATATTCACAATTTAGTGATGGCACGTATTCGTTACTATATCCTGGACTGTATATTATTTGTTCATTTTCAGTTGCTATATAGTTCCCACCACAAATATCAGTCCACTGTGCTCTAAATCCATCTAAGTTGATTTCTGAGTCTGTGCGGAAGATAACTTTCATTTGGTTGAATGTTGAATTGTATGTCGGCGGTAGTCGCCGGCCACATAACTTGGCTATTTCAATATATTCATTATCCTTCCAATCATAGACAATAAGAACATCCTTTGTGCAATTTGGTCTGTCTTCAATAACGAAACGTTCAATAAACTTAAGTGAAATTCTGTAACCTAGATCTGCTTTAATTTCCCATATGCACTCTTCATTGCTAAAGTAATTTTTTGGAAAGTTAGGTGACGAAAATTGACGTTCAAATTTTGTGAGTAGCCCACCGCATTTACTAGTTGCCGTTTTTACCATTAGTTTTACTTTTGTATTGTTTTTCAGTTTTGTGTGATATTGTACAAATGTATATTTAAATGTGGTAATTAATGGATATTGAGGAATTTTATCCCTACAATATTCACCTATAACCGTTGATAGTTGTGCCAAGCTTTGGCCAATCTCTATGTATTCATCAGAACAATCAAATTTGAATTCCCCTTCCAATTTGATTTCAATTTTATTGTTTGTAGGAGCAATGATAACCCACGCACAATCTAATGATTCATTATAATTGTTAGGTAAGTTCAGAACATTTACGGATTCTTCGTTTACATAAACTACCCCTCCACATGGTTGCATACTCCATTTAACTGAGAAGCTCAAAGTAGAGTCTTTGTTTTTAGTTGCTTTAAAATCTACAACTGATGATGGTAATCTAAAGGTTACATCCGTATTGTTCCCGCAAATAGTTCGAACAATAGTAAAATCTTCATTAGCAACAGTAGACTTTAAATTTAAGCGCGAATCGGTGTATCGGCAAATTGTACTCAATGAAGAAGAATTTACTCTTGCATGAATAAGAATAGTATTTAGTTTAGTTTCTTCTTCATTTTGTTGATAGCTATAGTGCCATTCACAATTATAAGATCGTTCGATTTCTGGGCTGGCTAATTCTCCAGTTTTTCCATTTAAAGTACCACCGCATAATGCTTCATCATTTGACGTAAACCGAGCCTTGAAGCGATGAGTTTTTGATCCTAACGGTTTTAACCATAAATACATTCCCAATTTACTTCCTGATGATTCAAAAACTTTTACTGTCGGTGAGTAGTTATCATCAGGTATGGATTGTATGAGTGTTTGGAAATTTATGTCATTGTATATTCCTATTCGATGATTGTCCGTATCGAAGTCTAAAAGTTCTAGACGTACACGTCTTGTTGTATCGGGTAATTTAATTTTCCATTGACAAAATCGTAATGTCGTTAGTCTTGGATAACCGGGTGTAGTCAAATATCCTTCAGGTGTTGTGACAGTACCACCGCAAGTAGGTCTTGAGGTGCTGAACGTCATACGGAAACCTCTGCTTTCAGAAATTTGATCCCAGTCATTTGATTTTCCAATAGAAAGTGTAACAATAACTTCATTAGTAAACGATTCGATCGGTGTAGTGTAAGCTGTTATATCATCACTACAAAATTCTTTTAATATTGTAATGGTGTTATTTACAGGTACAGATTTCTCGGATATAGTAAATTTTGTCGCACAGGGTACTTCGGATTCAGGTAGATTAAGATCTTTCAGTTGAAGTTTCAAAGTAAATACCGGCGGTCCAATAATATGCCATTTACAAACTGAGCCGTATGGTAACACTTGCATATGGGGGTATCCTGGTGATGTTAGTTCACCATTGCTGGCTATAATTGTACCACCGCAAACGTCAATTGATATATTAGCTTTAAACCCATTTCTTGGTTCTGTTATTTGTGTTGAATATTTAATATATAATAAATTGTTACTACTTTTTATTGTACCAGGTCTTTCACCACAATATCGTCCTTTAAGAGGTGAAAGATTCGATGAACCATCTCGAATTTCTACGAATTCTGTAGAACAAGAATCTTTACGTTCCAAGTCAAATCTGTCTATAAAATCAATTCTTAAAATTTCACCTGGAGGTCCCATAAATACCCAAATACATTCCGTATAAGGAGAAGGTACTGATGGATACGCAGGTGATGTAATAATTTCCCACTGGTGATCGAAATCTAATGTGGATGAACCGCCACATTCAATATTTCTTTCTTCAAAACGCAGTTTAAAGTTCCGAAAAGAATTTAAAATTCTCATATTATTAGCAACGTAACTAACAAATACAGCATTGCTGGAAGACACAATTTCATTTCTATTTTCATGCGAATATCCGCAATATTTTCCATCGGCTAATAGAGGCGATTCTCTTGATTCGCCGTTACGTAAAATAACATACGTGGAGCAACTGCTGTCTGGATTTGTGATGTTAAACTTTTCAAATTTAATTCGAATATTTCGGCCAGGTCGAACTTTAAGCACCCATTCACATCGCATTTTAATTGAATATATATTTTGGCTATCAGTCCATGTTGGTTCTATTACACCCGATGATGAAAAAAGGAAGCCTCCACACATTGATGCTACTGTAGCCAAAAAACCTTTTTGTGATACCGACGAATCTGTTTTGAATTGAATTTTTAAGTACATTGATGCATTCATTGCTCCGTTTACGGCTGTATTTTCACATATATTTTCTTTGAGAGGTATCCATTCGCCTAGAGTCTTCGAAGAAAATATAGATACATGATCAGCAAAACAGTTTTGGGTTTCTTCTAACGAAAAATCTTGAAAAGTCAAGACTAAATGACGTCCAGGTGTTGATTTGAAAACCCATTCACAGTTCAAATTGCTTTCATAAGGTTCTGGATAGTTGGGGGAGTTAAAAATAAAACTACGACCAGGCGCTATAGACTCAGTACGGTTTAAACCACAATTAATTTTATCCTTTACTTCGGTTTCTACGTCATTATCAGCTTGCATCCAACTTAAATGGAAAAGCGATCCACTATTTGTTTCTTCTAGTTTTAATTTAATATATACAACACTCGAAGAAGTTTTTAATGAGATTTGACTTGTGAGTATTCCGCACATCTTTTGTAGAAGTGGAGCTTCGTCATTATAACCGTCATAAATGGCTAAGTGATTTTGACACGTTGTGCCTTGGTTAGGTATTTCCAACTGGTTTATGCGTAGAGAAATAGGTTCTGAATCAATTGTAGATATGCGCCATGTATATTCACCTTGACCATCATAAAGAAAAGGGTACATAGGTGAGCTAACTTCACCATTAGATAATCCAGAAATCTCATTACCGTGCAGAAATCCGTAGTGAATTAAAAATCCTTGTCCAGAATCTTTGCTGTCACTGTGGAATTTTATGTAAAGCTTGTTTGCGGCAGTTGTGTTTGTAGGAATTTGACTACCGCAAAACACACCAATAAGTTGTCCGCCACCGTTACCTTCACGTACTTCTAAATAGTCCTCATTACATCCTTCAGAATATTCTAAGTCAAACTTTTCAAAATTTATGTATACTCTATTACCTGGCGATGTGCTTAAAATCCATTCGCAATCCGATCCAAAAGGATACGACTGAGGGTAATTAGGAGAAGCAATAGTACCTTCTTCTGATGTTAATAAGCCTCCACAAGCTGATGTTAATGTTGAATAGTGGGCTGAAAATTTACCACTAATATTTCCAATATAAGTACCGAGTTTTATCGTCATCGCACTACCATGGCTCACGATCATTGGTGGAATTTTGTTTCCACAAAATTCATCTATTAGGGGTGAATTATCGTCGTCGCCGTCCAAAACTCGAAGGTATGTTGATGGACATGCTCTGTTGGTGGAGACAGTTGTATCTTTTGGAAGTGACATATGTGTTATGGTCAATTTTATTTTTTGACTTGGTTTTGGTGCTAATAAAGTCCATGTGCAACTTTCATTAGAATTTTTAACAAAATGATCATTATTTATTATTCCATCATGATGTACAGTTATATGAGCACCACAAGTCATAGTAAAAGAAGCTTTAAAACCTTTAGCAGTCCCAAAACCGTTCGTAATGAACTGTAATGTTAATCGATTATTTTTTGAGATAATTTGTGAAATGTTCGTTTTTGGACATAGAATATAGGTGTAATTAGAAAGCAAAATATCGTCGCTTTCGTAAATTCTAACCATATCCCCGCAATCCGTATCTTCGCTGTCATCTACAGAATATAAATCGAAGTCAAGAATATTTAATTTTATTCGGTGGTTTCTAGGTACTATGATAGACCAAATACAATCTAAGTCATCATCGTAATTTTTAGGATAATTTTTAGAATAAATCATTCCAGTACGAGATTGCATTTTGCCACCGCAACTATTTTTAAAAGAATCGAAGTGAGAGTGGAAAAATACGTTCCTAAGAGAAGATTGTTTTACAAATTTAACAACAATAAAGTTAGAACTTCCTTGTACTGACGATGTGTCACGGTGGCAAATTTTTGTTAATAGAGGTGCATCAATACTTTGACCATTATAGACCTCAATAGCATCTACTGTGCAGTTTTTAGAGTCCACCATATATAAATCCGTGAAAGTTATAGCAGCATTAGTTCCTGGGGGAGTTTCTATTATCCATTCACAGACAATTTCGTTCTGTGCCACAGTCATACTATTATCCAATGACAAAGTACCAAATCGTTTTTGAATACGTCCACCACAACCATCTCGTACCCATTCTAACCGAAAACCAGGTCTGGAAAAGTACCCGCCCGATACAAATTTAATTTGAACAGAATTGCTCTGGACAGTTAATGGTTTTGGTAATATAGTGCCACAAAGTTTATTGGTCAATGTTGTATCCGAAGTTTCCATTATCTGTACATAATCAGATTCACATGTTATTGGAGACACAATACTAGGTGTTAACCATGGACGATAACTTCGAAATGATTTTAATACGTTAAAATGTGTAAAAGTTATATTAATTTTATTTCCTTTAGGGACATTAATTTTCCAGAGGCAATTTGAGTGTAGTGGATAGTTACTAGGGAAACCTGGACTTTCAATAACTCCGTAACTATCGGATATATTACAATGGCATATTGTATCATAGTTAAGTAAGAAACCCTTACCACCTAAATACATATCAGACCGGAATTTTATATATGCATAATTAGTGGTTGTCACTATATTGCTTAAAATAGGTGACATTGAACAATGTTTGCCGAGGCTTACCGCATTTGTGTCTCTGCCATCAAAAATTTCTATATAATCATCTCTGCAGTTTGGTGTTCTCTCCAAATCCAGTTCTGTGAAAGATATACGAATTCTAGAACCACTGCTCGTTACTATTCTGTAGAAGCATTCAGCATTCTCATTGTAATTATCTGGATAGTTTGGTGATGAAATTGATCCACTAATACTGGTCAGCGTCCCTCCACATCCAGTGACACTGCCATCCCATTCAATTTTAAAACCGCGTCCTGATAAATAATAATCGGAATGAAAGTGCAAATATAAACTATTTGCAGTGGATAAAATACGTTTTGATTTAAAACTACCACAATACTTCCCAATTAACGGGGTGTTTTTTGAAGCCCCATTCTTTATCTCTAAGAAATCTCCTAAGTCACATTTATCACGTATCGGGCGTTCGAGATCGAATTGAGAAATATTAAGCATAATTTGTTGTCCGAAAGGTACAGTAATTGTCCAAATGCAATCTCGATTCGGCTCATAAGTATTAGGCCATCCTGGTGAATAGATATAGCCGTGAGGCTTTACGAACAATCCGCCACAATGTGATTTTTCGTCTAAAAATGAGTAAGATAGAGAGAAACCACTCTCTCCTATACTGCTGTCAGATTCGAACTTTATCATAAGCCTGTTAGTAGAAGAAGTAAGTGCCGGTGGTGATAAATATCCACAGTATCGGCCAAGAAGATTACGTTTATTTTCATCATCTATTTCATACAATTCAACGTAATCACTGCTACATGGTCGAATTTGGTTTTCCAGGTGGAATCTATTCCAGGTTAATTTTATATGCATACCTTCAGGGGCAATTAGTATCCATGTACAGGTCTGATCGTTTTTATAATTAGTTCCTGTAGCAGAGGGATGGTTGATTTCTCCAGTAGTCTCTCTATGTATACCTCCACATTCAGTATCTATTGTTGTATAGTTTGCGTAAAATCCTGTACCTGAAACACTCATATCAGATTTAAATCGGATGTACATATAGTTAAATGTTGATGTTTGAATAGGTGGTATATGTTCAGAGCCACCACAGAAAGTTCCAAGCAGGGTCGAGTTTACATCCGGTCCATCTCTAATTTCTACATTATCATATTGACAATTAGAGTATCTGTTATTTTCAATGTCAAAATCTTGAAAACTTAATTGTATCGCTTTTCCTGGAGTAGTACTAATAATATATTCACAGACTCTATTTTCTGGGTAACTGAAAGGGTATCCGGGTGATTTGATAACTCCACTGGCACCGTATAGTGTTTTATGACAAATTGCTTCATAAGTTATTCTGAAACCTTCTGAGGACATAGTATGATCAGATTTGAATCTTATGAATAACGCATTTGAAGATGATGTGTATGATTTAAGATAATTTTTGCCACAAAATTTGCCAACAAGCCGAGAGTCAGACGACGGACCATCATAAATTTTTAAGTTGTCATATTTACATCGGAATGAACTTTCGAGTGAAAATGTTTTGAAATTTATACGGATTTTAGTATCTACACTGGTTTTTATTTTGTATTCACATACTAAGTTACTAAGATATTTACCGTTATATGTAGGCGATGAAATTTCTCCTCTATATTCAGTGAAGTAACCACCGCATCCCGGTATACCTTCTACAGGAGCAAATGTAATACGGAAACCATAACCAGAACCATAAGCGTCGGAATGAAAATGTATTAAAAGTTCAGAGCTCATTGATTGCACAGGTGCAGGTTGGGTTGAGTTACAATATTTTTCGAGTAGAGGATCAGTAATATGTCCTCCATCGTAAATGGCGATGTAATCAAAGCTACAGTTAGGGTGGGCTTCGATGTCAAGTTCAAAAAAGTGTAGCTGTATTCTTTTTCCAAAGGTAGTCGTGAGGTGCCAATAACAATCTCTATTAGGCGGGTACTTGCCTCGTGACCCAGGCGAGCTGATGTGACCATGGGTACTTGCGTCGATTTCCCCTCCACAAACTGGATCAATACTAGTCCAATGCAAGGCAAAACCATCCTTAGCTACTGTTTGGTCTGATCTGAACCAGAAATATAAATTATTATGACTAGATATAATATTTCCACCTAAAGGAAAAGCGTTACCACAAAATCGTCCTAATAATTGACTGGCTGAGCTTCGGCCGTCATGTATTTGTAAAAAGTCATACTGACACTCAGGATTTGTTTCTAAATTGAACTTACTAAAAGTAACATTAATTACTTTGTCAGGTGAGGTGTGAATCACCCACGCACAACGGGCATTATGACTATAGGTTGTATTAGATATCGGATAAATAATGCTACCCTCTTCGTGATTTAACACACCACCGCAAAGACTTGCATGCGACTGACAAAGGTCCCCAGAAAATAGTGCAGTACACTCACATCTAAATCCCCTTGAAGAATTTTCATCAACAATGCAGCTGCCTCCATTTCGACAAGGGTTACTTGCACATAAATTTGCCGTGTTCTCACAGTGTACCCCGGTAAAGCCTTTATTACAGATACATGTATAACCTGTTCGAAGAGCGTGGCATTGCCCATGCTCACCGCACGGATTGCTCTCGCAGTGTTGTGTTGCATTACCTTCAGTAGAAATGTAGCATCCATGAAGACCTACGCCGTCGCCGTCCATACCGTTGGGGCAAATACATTGTGCTCTTCTGCCCAATCCGAACCAGTTATCAACGCAGTAAGCTGATGGGTGACATCCGCCGTGATTTATATTACATGAGCCTATCCAAGTACAGGTAACACCATCGCCTAGGTATCCCGAAGGGCATGGTCCGCAGGATCTTGACCCAATCGTATTGTGACAAGCTACAAATGGACTTACGCTGCAACCGCCATTTGGCAAGGTGACGCACTCGTCGATATCATAGCAGACGTATCCATTTCCTTCATAGCCTGATGGACATTCACCACATCGGAACGAACCAGGAAGATTGATACACTCAACTCTAGGATTAACGGAACATCGGGCTCCTTGTGACAGTTCACATTCATTTACATCTGTGAGACAAGCTATACCAGTATCATTCGTAGTCCAACCTTGATCGCAAATACATTTGACTCCATCTCCAGAATTCACTGGCAAGCAAGTACCATGTCCACACATTTCAAAATCTCCTCCTGAGCAATCTTTGGCTTTTCTTGTGCAATGTAGACCGAACCAACCTGTTCTACATAAACAATCATACGATCCCGGCTTATTGATGCAAGTAGCTCCATTCTGACAGCCCAAGTCGGTGCCGGCGAAGTTTCGGCACTCATTTACATCTTCATCACAATCAGTCCCCTCCCAGTTCGGTGGACAAAGGCAGTAATAGCCGGACATCAAATTTAAGCAAGTACCGCCATGCTTACATGGGTTTGCTTGGCAGTTATTTATTCTTCCGCTAATTTGTGATTGTAGTAGTGAAACTCTGTTATTTAACCGATTGATCTTTCTTGCAAGGATTGATATATTAAAAATTAAGCCACTAGGTAAGGGAGTTTGTTGGTTCTCTAATTTTTGTAAGCGTTCTAAAATCCTATTTACCTCCTGATGATTCTGATCATTACTACTGCTTGAAGATGGTTGATACTCTCCGGTGCTAATAGAAGTATTAATGTTGAGTAGATTCAATTCGCCTATAAACACGTTGGATTTAGGGCCGTTGGGGCGTAAATAAATATTTTTATTATAACCAGGCTCCAAAATGAGGTCGCCATCTGACGTCTTGATTTTAGGTCGGTCTTGCTGAACTTCACATCTGAGGCGCACAAAGCACAAAGTTGATAGGAATAAGTACCGAAACACCATCCAGAACATGATACATGCATCTGACGCTTCGCACGAGTATCTGCGGACTGTAGCACATACTCACTTTACAAGTTAAAATAAAAAAGGGGCGTTTTTCACGTCAAACGCCCCTTACTCAAATTTCAGTTTGTTGCAAACGTGAAATTTGACTAAGCTTCTATCACTGATAAATTTTTATGGACTTAAATTGAAGAAGTTTATTATATTTTATGTTGTATAATAATTAATTTATGCATTTTTTTTATAAATGGAAATATAATGTATTTTATACAATTAAAAAATGTGTATTTTATAAAGTTTATAAAACATAGTTTTTCAAAGGGATTTCATTAGTCTATGATTGTAGATGGCGTGGCAAAATATTCTTTCTATTGTGGTATTACAATATTATTAAAGTGCATCAGGGTAAGATCGTACAAGGGCTAAGATCGTAGGAATTATATTACCGCTGCATTTGGCAATATTTTTAACTGTTGACAACGTAGCGTTACGCGCCATTTTGTTGTGTCCGTCCTATTAGTCTGCGTTGGTCTGCGTCTTGCGCTCCGCCAAGCCGGACGGGTGTTTTAATGATCTAAGTGAAGTTATAGGGTGCGTTTGGCAGAAAAAAGCGCTAGCAAGCGCTTGTAAACAAAATGGTGATCGTAAGCGGTAAGTGCTGTCAAATCGTAAGTAGCTATTTTCTTCTAGGACACAGTGTAAGTTTTAACCGGGGAACCTAACCTAATTTAAATATATGTTTGTAAAGTATTCATATTAAAAACTTACCAATCATGAATTTTTAATAACATGTATATGTTTATTCATGTCATTATATTACTTAAAACTAATATTGCACAAAACAACTTATAAACTCTACTTCAAAACAAACAAATTAAATAAGCAAAATGGCGGATTGTGTCAGCGCTACTGAAGTAGCAATCGTGTCCTGGCCGAAAACTATTTTAGCGCTTGTAAGCGCTTGCTAGCGCTTTTTTCTGCCAAACGCACCCATAGACTAGACGTGCTTTTTGAGAAGATCCGATCTTACCCCAACGAATTTTCACAGACAATTTGGTAAGTAGTTTTAATTTTTTTACTAGTTTCGTAATTGTTTATTAATGAGCGTTATATGACGGTTTAATTTGATTATTGAAATCACGCTTAAGACGTTTGTGGGCCGAAATCCGATCTTACCCCTCGAAAATATCGGTCTATACCGTTAAATTGCTTCTCAAACTTTTTTATTAATCTATATTTTCCACTACTGGGCAAGGTCCCTCCAATTCGATATATGCACTTATAGTTTTTTGGGTCTTGTTTTTATATTTTTATTTACTCGATAAGACTATTTTGAGCAACTGTTGTTAATATTTTTGTTTTCTAATGGGTAGTTATTTATTTCCAAATTTTCAGTTTTGCTGATAATGATCGAAAAGAGTCCTAAAATTTTGGTGTAAAAGGACAGTAGTATAACACCAACATTCAATATTTTTATTGTTTAATAGTTAGTTAGTTACGCTGGTAAGGGAAAGACAAGACATCGAAATTGTGACTGCTTTGTGACGACATTAACAAAGAGCGTGCAAAGTTATTTAAATACCAGGATCCGTCCCGGCTTCGCACGGGTGATTTCTGGATCTCAACAACAGCGCCACCTACCCGGCCCAATTGTGAATCTTAACCATTCTCGAATTAACTTAATCACACACACAAAAATTCAAAGCCGTTTGAAGGAGATCAGTTACATATACACGGACAATAAATTAAAAACATAGAGATGACTATTTAATACTCATATATTTTAAAATTAAAATATAAAAACAATACATGAAAATAATTTTAAAGAGGTACCAAATTCCTCCAATTTTTTCGGTCACATGCTGCTTCTAGGGTTGCTAACTTTTTTTGACAAAAAAAAACGTATAAAGTGGTTTGGATAGGAAAAAATAAAGTATTAGGAAGAAAAAAAAGTATTTTTCAAATTTTATGTTTTTATTGCTTTAAACACGTATTTTGTGTGCTTTTAGCACATGCTAACAATTTTTTGTTGTCTTTAAATGTTACAAAGCTTGTTTGACAATCAACGTTTAAATTTAAATAAATTATTTTTTTAGTTATTTTAGATTTTTAGGAGTCACTGGTGTGTCGCTATCAGAATTACTCGTCATTTTCAGCATTAATATTTACTTTAAAATGCATTCTTCGCTTATAAACAAAACTATATGGATACAAAGGGATATGGTGGGAATAAATCACCCGTATATGTTTCTGAACATTTATCCCCTCAGAACCAAAAGCTACATACTAGCACCAGAAACATTGCACGTGAAAAGGGTTATAAATATGTTTGGATCCGTAATGGTCGTATTTTTGTGCGAAAAGAAGATCATACCCCTGCAAAACAAATTAAGTGCCACGACTCTTTGAAAAACTTGTAATTACATAATTTGATACGCCATATTACTAAGACCGTAACTGTCAAAATAAAATTCAATATATATATTATCAAAATTTCGGAGGTCTGAAAACTAAGACGGACAACATTAAACTATCTTCACTGTTTACCCATTATGATATAATAGTGGGAACAGAAACATGGCTTGACGACACAGTATCGGACGGGGAACTGTTCGGCGCAAACTTCAATGTTTATAGACGTGATCGTAATTCTACCCATCTCGCTGGCAAGCGAGGCGGAGGTGTCCTGGTAGCAGTATCGAAGAAACTGTACTCTAAAAGAGTTAACCACTTTGAGAGCTGTTATGAAGACTTGTGGGTTTCGGTGAGAGTGAATATTAATGGTAAACTCGTGGACTGCTTGTTTTGTGTAGTATACTTGCCCCCCTCCAGTAACTAATAGTTTATTAGATGGATTTCTTGACAACTGCAATATTGTAATGCAATCATGTAGTAACGACACAATAATATTGGGCGATTTTAATTTGAATTTTATAGATTGGATTACCGATGTTACCAAATTCGTAAACAAATTAACCCCTAACAATTATTGCTGTAATTTAGGATTTCAGTTTATTGACTTCTTGTCTTTAAATAATTTATCACAATTTAATGCTGTGAAAAACGCTAATAACAGAACCCTTGACCTTGTTTTAAGTAATCTTAAGAATATAAATGTTGCTGAATGTCCATGTCCAATAAGTAAAACTGATCGTCATCATCCTGCTTTAGAGATAAATGTAAATATGTCAGTACCGCATTTGTTGAATAATAAATCTTTTGCTACTCACAATTTTATAAAGGCTCATTATACCAAAGTAAATTCTAGGTTAAGTAGAGTTGATTGGGGTTTTGAATTTAGTAATTGTCAGGATGTCGATGTCATGGTATCTAGGTTTTACAAAATACTTTATTCCATTATTGATGAAACTGTACCAAAAACGAAGCCGCGTAATTTAAAGTTTCCTATTTGGTTTACGCCGAACTTAATTAAACTAATAAAAGAAAAAGAAAAGATCCGATTAAGGCACAAAATTTACAAAAATCCAAGAGATACATTAGAACTCAAGCTCTTAAATTACCGGGTTAAGTCGTTGGCCTCTAAGAATTATTTAGATTATATACGGGAAACCGAAAAATCCATTCAGTCTAATCCTAAAAAATTTTGGTCGTTCGTCCGTCATCGGAAATCCTGCGATTATGGTTTTCCAGAAGAAATGTACCTAGACAATCTCTCGGCTAATAGTGGTGAGGGGATATGTAATCTTTTTGCTCAACATTTTTCATCTGTGTTCTCCCAACCCAAGTGCACTGCAGCTCTTGTATTGTTCGATGTGTATCCACAAAGTTCTTTGCATGATATAGAAATAACAGAACGTAAAATCCTGAGTATACTGAAGTCGCTAGATATCTACAAAGGAGCGGGCCCTGACGGCATTCCTCCTCTGTTTATAAAAATGATATCAAAATATCTAACTCTTCCTCTAAAACAAATTTTTAGTAAATCGTTATTAACCAGGTCCTTTCCAACTGACTGGAAACGTTCCAATGTTATACCTATTTACAAGAAAGGAGATAAAAATAATGTTAAAAATTATAGACCGGTTTCAATTATAAGCTTATTTCCAAAGATATTTGAACGCTTAGTTTATCCAAGTTTAACAAATCATCTAAAAAATATTATCGTAGAGGCACAACACGGGTTTTCCAAAGATAAATCTACTGTTAGCAATTTGATGGATTACGTCATAAAAGTTGCAAGTGCAATGGATGGTCAAATGCAGGTGGATTCCATATACACGGATTTTTCTAGTGCATTTGATGTCGTGGACCATCATTTACTTATATCTAAATTAAATTCGTACGGCGTGCATGGGAATTTACTTCGTTGGCTAAGTTCTTATCTCAAAAATAGATTACAAAGTGTCGTATTGCATGGATATAAGTCTAATGATTATGTGGCTCTATCAGGCGTACCACAAGGTTCACATATTGGTCCTATTCTTTTTTTTGGCGTTTATTAATGATATAACACATAACATTAAGTTCAGCCACTGTTCCATTTTCGCCGACGATTTAAAATTGTTCAAAGCTATTAAAACCAGGATGATATTCTATCTTTACAAAATGACCTTGATGCTATCCATGAATGGTGCAAAAGTAATAAAATGAAACTTAATCCTCGTAAGTATACCTACATTATATTCACAAAGAATAAATCTACTGTTGAATCTTGTTACTTCATTAATAAAGAGGTACTGAGTGAATCTTTATCCACCCGTGATTTTGGGGTCATTCTTGATAACAAACTTAGCTTTATAGAACATATAGATAATGTGGTAACGCGCTCATGGAAAATGTTAGGTTTTGTCAAACGTACATGTAAGGATTTCAAAAATGCTCAGACTCTGATAACTATCTATAATGCATTGATTCGTAGCAGTTTAGAATATGCCTCGGTGATATGGAATCCTTCTTATAAAATTCACATTCACAGAATCGAGCGTATTCAACAAAACTTCACTCGATTCATTGCATATAAAGTTCAAAACTGTCCATACTATAAAGATTACAACTCTAGATTTTCTTATCTTGGAATGAGTTCACTGGCTGACCGACGAAAACTTTTAGACTTAATGACGCTACATAAACTTCTACACGGTAAGTTAATTTCGCCAAGTTTACTGCAGCAAGTGTGCTTTAAAATCCCTTATCATATTCCTAGACACCCAATTACTAATTTGTTCAATATTCCCATCAGTAGAACCAATTTAGGCAAGTTTTCCGTTAAGCAGATGTATGCGAACTTACAACAGCTTAAACAATCATGACATCGACATCTTTAGCGACCCCGAACGTGAATTTAAAAGAAAATGTAAAGACTTATTGTTACCTGCCTCGCCAGAATAATGACTCAAAATTATTATTTATTGTAATTATTACTGGATGTGGTGCTTTTACTTTGATTGATTAGTTTAATTCCTTTTTGATTTAGAGTTTATATGTTGTTTAGGTTGTATTGTCGATGGTGTATCTATTTAAATAAATAAATAAACAAAACTAAAGGACCAGTTTTGTACAATTAAGTCGATAGTGAGAGACATCTGTGACAAACGTCACAACTGACATCTAATAGGCCTTTCCGATCCACGCCAACAGCGCTGTCAGCGCCAATAATCCGTTCCGAATCAACCGTAAGCGCGCTGATGACAACGCTAACGCTGCCCATGGTCGCGAGCGTAATCACTGTTGGCGCTATTGGCGTGAATCGGAAAGATAGGTAACATTTCGTTCAGCAATTATAAATCGTTAAGTACCCATGATGAGTATGTTTTACGCATCACAGTAAAGGTTGAAAATAAAGTATTTTTGCATACTTTATTTGTATGTAAAAGTATAAAGTATAATTGAATAAAACTAAATTTACGGATTTTATCGCGTTTATTTCACTACTTTTTTATTTTTAATTCCCGACGTTTCGGGCGCTTTCCAGCACCCATGGTCACGGGGGACTGAGATGACTGACGTCCCGATGTCATTGTTAAACCCGGAGTACCTTCAGCTTTTTTAATTATTGTTTATGGTCCGATCTATGCAAAATGAACTGACTATGTCCTGAGGTCTTGCAGTGGTATGCTTGGGTTTAGTTTTAATTTTATTGATTATAGGAAACGTCGGGAATTAAAAATAAAAAGTAAAAAATAAACGCGATAAAATCCGTAAAAGTAGTTTTAATCATGTGCAATGTTCGCGTAAATATAAGATATCATTAAAGTAGGATACGTTATTATAAAGTATGGTTGGCAAGCCTAGCTGCTTCCCACCAGTCTTCCCGAAAGATTCCGAAATAAAAATATTTTGTGACAAAAATTTTATTTTTTACAGATTCGCCATGCCTAAAAACTACAGCCAAACATCACAAAGAACAATTGCGTACTCGCAAAAAGACTTGGAACTGCTGTAGAAAAAGTAAGAAATAAAGAACTAACTAACTATGCTGCATCAAAACTTTACGGGATTCCAGCATCTACCCTTAGTGATCGAGTTAATGGTAAAACAGGTTTAAAAAGTCGTACCCTAGGAAGATCACCTGCTATACCTTTAGATATGGAAACCAAACTAGCATCAGGTCTACGTACAATGGAAAAATGGGGTTGGGGCTTATCTAAATCTGAAGTGATTGACATAGTGGCAGAGTTTATAAAGAGAAATAAAATAAAAACTCCATTCATAAATGATATACCGGGGAACGATTGGTTTCTTTCGTTCCGTAAGCGGCACAAGCTATCCATTGAAAAACCTCAACCAATAGAGTACCTCCGAAAACGTATGACAGATCCTTTTGTAATACACGAGTATTTCAATTTACTAAGAAGCACCATTGAGAATTTGAACCTAAACGACCCGCATAGGATTTGGAATTTAGACGAGACCTCTGTATGCTTAGATCCAACAAAAACGAAAGTTGTTGGCGCAGTAGGCGCACCATGCACAAGGACAACGGCTGGATCTGCAAAAAAAACATTACCGTGTTAACGACTGTCAATGCGGCTGGTATCAAATTGAACCCTTTAATTGTATTTAAAGGGAGCTACGCATATGACCAATGGATGGCAGATCAAAATTAAGAATATGATTTTGATGTTGCTTATGCTTCTAGCAAACGCGGTTGGATGGAGACCGAAATATTTTATAATTATATGGTTAAGGTCGGAATTCCAAGTTTAGGAGAAGAAAGACCAGTGCTCTTAATTTACGATGGTCATAGCACCCACGTTGACGAACGAGTCGTAGCATTAGCAGCAGAAAACAACATAATCATTTTAAAACTGCCTGCTCATACATCTCACTTGCTACAACCTATAGACTTAGCGGTCTTCAAGTCAATTAAAAGTATTTGGGACAAAAAACTTGTGGAATGGCAACGCCAAAATGTCGGATTTAAAATGCGTAAGAAAGAGTTTGCTGAAATGTTTGCAAAAGCACGGAGCCAAACAAAAGTGATTAAAATGGCTTTATGAAAGGAGGTATCTACCCGTTTGACCCAAATGTTATACCAAAAGAAAAATATGACCCAGCGGCTTATAAAAGATGGCAAAATGACGTGATATATAAAAGTGGGAAAAGAAATTTAGCAAATCTCAAATCGCTGAATCAGTCATGTATAGACGTCTTAAACAAAGAAATGATGATTGATCGTAAACTTCAGGACATTATTCACGTCAGCGCTTAAAATCGTGCAGAGTCGGTGAATTATAGTATTTCTTTTGAGCTTTTAAAAAAGGTTACGCAAAAAACCACAAAACTCAAGAGTCAAAATGAAACGTATAGCAAAAGGAGCAGAAATTATAACACACACATATTTGGAGAAAAAAAAACGTAAAAAATCAGATCACAGTAGAAAAAGAACCACAAATTCAAAATTCAGAATCAAACTATAATCTACACATTGATGATTATCAAGAACCTGGACCATCGGGAATATCAAAAAAAAGTGTTCGATAAAGGTAAAAAATAACAAGCCTAAGAATGTTACAAAGAATAAAAAAGAAAAAATTGGAAACGAAGTTACAAATGCGCCGAACAGCAAAAACACGAAGTCAAAATCTGGGATGAAAAAAGGAGTAAATAAAAAATGTTTAACAAATAACGCATCTACAGAAGTCTTAGATCTTTACAATAAAAAAATTATATCAAACGAGAACTCTCCAACTCAACGAATCAATATTAAGACTGAAGGTTGTTTGAAGAAAGGTATTCCCAAACAAAAAAGAAAACCTTTAAAAAAGACAAGCCAAAAACTTGCAGAGGTCTTTAAGCACGACGTCTAAAAGCTGTGAAATTAGCTCACATAGTGATTCTGATTTACAAGGCATATTAAGCGATAATTTTAAATTTGTCATGTCTGATTGGTCGGATATAGATGATGAAAACCAAAGAAAAACACTGATCTAGATTTATTAAAGACATCAGACATTGACATAATAAAAGCATTACAGATTGATGATATAATGGAATTGACTCAACGAGAAATGATAGAACACAAAGAAGCACAGATAACGATCTGAAGATGAATGATAATCCACAAAAAGAAAAAAAATTAAGTGATGAGACAAAATATACAGAACTTAATAATAATACAGTCACTGTTCTATCATCAGTTCCATTCACACCTGAAAATCGACCTTTCATTGGTTTAAAAACTTGTGCAACCTTAAAACTTTAACCTGTGGATAAACAGTTTGATTTAAGTTTGAACCTAAAGCGTAAAGATTTACAAGGAGAATCTTTAGATAAAGAAAACACGCCAGTAAAAATAAGAACTCCTGCAGTGAAAGTAAAGAGTAATGATAAGGAGTTAATCAAAAACAAAAAACAACAGATTACTGTAAAATTTGAATTTCCAAATAAAACAGCATTTGACATGAAGAACAAAACCCACAAACGACAAAATAAGGTGGATACATCACAGACAGACGACTTCGAAAGCAAGGTAAGAGAATAAGAAAGCTTGCTTTGCGAAAATGATAAAAAGTGAAGAAAAATGAGTACAAAACTGGAGATACCGTCTTAACGCGTTATTATACTATATCTTGGAAATACTATATATCTTGGTGTGATTGAAAATGCATATTTGGCTACAAGAAAATACACTATAAATTATTATAAAACTATCGGCAAAAAAGGAAATGTTAAATTTGTTGTTCCTAAACGAAAAGATCAAGACTGCGTACCTGAAGTTTCAATCGTTAAAGAAATTGAACTGCTTCAGATAAATGAAGAACCCGATGAGTATGTGCTAATGAACGACAGTGAAGAGATTTATTTCTAAAATATTTCACTAGGTACAGTGCGTCTAAAATAAAAATGAATGTGGCCGAAAAAACAAAGCTGTGTTGGGAAAGGTTGAAACTCAATTTGTTGTGAATTTGTATTACTGCTAGTGCCTTCAGTCACGTTCATTATAACCCTTGTCGCAATGTAATGAATATTTTTGCTAAAAATAACTTACTTATAGAGGAACATTAAGTATATTGATTTTATAATAACTTTATTAAAAATACAAATGTTTAAAAATGTAAGTTTATTTACGAACGTTACATACTCGATACCAAATATAAAGAAGTGATGCTATATTTTTGTTCTGAATGTTTTCATAGTATATTTGATTGTTTTTATATTTTTGTAAATGTTCCAGGGTCACTCGCGAAATTCAAATTTTCTTAAGCATTTTTTTTGCAAATTTCAGCTCAATTAGTTCGTGTTGGTAAAAATACGCGAGTATGGCAGCAATGTTTTTAATCGTACAATCAATGTGGCTCTATAAGTTTTGATTGGTTACAAATATGATTGATTTAATAAAAAAAGGACTTTTGGAACCACTTTCAACACATTAGCAACCATTTCAGCCATTTCAATTATTTTCATGATTTTTACGCCTTTAGTACACCTACGCATTCGTATGCGGTAGCGAAACAACGAAAAAACTGTAAGTAGTGTGGCAGGTTTTCGCATATGATATGTCTCATTCTAGCACATAGATAGATGAAATAGTTGCGTCCTTGTCAGTATTGTTTCGCAAGGACCTGCGAAATGGCCGTTACACAGACGCATACGTTTTGCTAGTGATGTTTCGCATCGCAAAGCGTCAGCTCGCGTTCTGTCGTTGAGGACAGATTTTCGCGCCATGGATGCCGAAAATACTGAATTATTTTTGCATTCTATTCGAGATTATCCCGTATTATACGCAATTGGACACGCAGATTATAAAAATACGGCAAATTCAGATCCCGTCAACTTTTTAAAAGCTGATAAAATGATGAGTTCTCAAATATTGTACTATCGGAATCTTTACCATATGATCCTACATCTATGTAAGTAAATTTGTAATGTGGATCAACTATTGCCAATAACACAGTAGAAAATCGTTTTTTATAGCAATAGAACAGTGAGCCGCTGTTAGGTTTACATTTAATAACAATATGCTTGCCGTCAATACTCCCGAGGCAATTAGGAAAACCCCATATTGTTTGAAATGCTTCAGCTATTTCCAACCATGTTTTAGTAGAAGGAACCGGGATGTACTCTGGCTTTAGTATCTTCCAAATTTGTCATACTTGAGTTACTATCTTTGAAACGGTGCATTCTCCCAAACGATAAGAGAAAGATATTGTTGTGTATGTGTCACCAGTTGCTAAAAACCTGAAATATTGTTACAGTTAAAACTATGAAAAATAAATGGAGAAACCTAAGGGACACTTATAAAAAATATAAACAGGGTCAGCAAACAAGCAGTGGACAAGCCGCGAAGAAGCTTGCTAATTGGCAATGGGCTGAACAGATGTCGTTCATAGATTCATCCACAAACTTGAGACAAACTGAAAGTACACTGGATACCAGTACTATATCTATAGAGAATGATTATGAAAATTCTGCAGAAGCCGAACAGGTTTCAAATAATGAACAGAACGAGCTCGTCGTTCAAGAACTGGAGACAGCACGGTCTACAGCTGAAACTACAGCTGAAACTGCAACTGAAGTATCCCGGAGAAGACGACGCCGTGTAAGCAACGACGATCCTGCTGAGAAGATTATAAATTATTTAAAGACTCGAAAATCGGGTACTACGGACAGAAACGCTACAGAAAATCTTGTCAAAATACCGTGTGATCGAATGGACATCGATTTTTTAGGTTATGCCCATACTGTAAAGAAATTTTCTCTACGAAAGCAAGCTATTATTAAACTTCAAATAACACAAATTATAACTGAGGCTCAACTTGAAGAATTGAATAATAGCCGGCCTAATTCTAATTTCAGCAATGCTTCATCCTCTAGTACTCCCAATTTTTACTACGTCGATAACGACTGGAACATTTCAAGATCGACACCATCTGAAGAACTGCAAACACATTCCATCCCAGACACTCAAAACGTTTCAAATGCACAGATACACATACCTAATACTCAAACAAATTCTGTCCCAGACACTCAAAACGTTTCAACTGCACAGATACATATACCTAACACGCAAACACATTCAATCCCAGACACTCAAAACGTTTTAACTCCTACACTGATACACATACCCAGTGGCAGAAGAATTACACACACCCAAGTATCACGACAACAAAAAAACGAGAACACAACACGACATCAAAAAAATATACATGAATTTCTTTGTAATTGGAATGAACCGTGAATAAATACTTAAACATTACCTATAATTAATAAATGTTCTTACCTTAAACAAAGTGCCAGTCTTTCTTTTGTTGGAATAGCCTCTCTGTATTTTGTATTTTTCTTTTTAATATGAGGTTCAAGAAGATTGTGTAAATATTCAAAAGTTTCTGGCTTCATTCTGAAATAGGTATAGAAACGATCTTCATGTGATTGAAGTTCTAAGCACAGTTTATTTTCTCCAAGTTTCCGTCGTTTCTGATTTATTTCATGCATCCAGATTCTACGCTTTCTCTTTAGTACTGACACCAGCAATAACAATTCTTCTTCTTCAGAATCTGAAAGCGATGACTGAGATGACATTCTGAAATTACGTCTGCACCTGCAGTCGTCGAAAATTACAATGGCATATCATTGCGAAAACATTGCTGTGTACTAACGTTCCGCAGATATTTCGCTACGCAGTAGTTCCGCAGAGACTCGTTGCCGCATACGAATGCGTAGGTGTACTAACGCCTTTAATGAGTAAATAAATATCTAAAGGCGACATTTCCTTGCACTAAAAACCCTCTCAGAATTGAGAGGAGGCCTGTGCTCAGCAGTGGGGCGTAAATAGGCTGTAACTTAAATAAATACCTAAACCATGAAAATTGAATGTGTGAGCCACCCTGAAACATATAATAAACAGGTATTTAAAAAAAATAGTATTATTTTTTATAGTTAAAGATTAATTAAATTGCAAGTTTCATTAAGATTAAACTTATTAATTTTTATCAACCTGTTAACATGACTAGTATAAAAAGACTGCATATAAATCAATAATTTGGATATTATTTAAGTGTGCTTAGAAGATAGGTACGTCAATACCTACTTTAATGCTTATCCTATTTGAAATTAATAATTATATATAAATTAATAAATGTCGTTTAATTATTATGAAATATTCTTTTAATAGTGCTTGATAACCTTAAAATCTTCAATCTCAAAGAACTGACTTCCATTTAAATATTAAAAATATATTAATAATTGATTCACAAATATATAATAACAAATAAGTACGAAGTTAAGTATTAGTTGTAGAATTAGCTAAATGAGAAATTGAGCAGGAAGTTAAATTATACTTACATAATAAATAGGTATCATATGAATTTAATGAGCACTTTGGCACGTAAAAGTTTGAGAAACATAAAACCTCTGAATTTGCCTATGCGGGGTAAGATCGGACGTAAATACATATATACATGTTAAAACCTTTACTAGTACTCAATTTTGAAGAAATTTTCAGAAAACCCTTCAATATGTTTTTACTTGGATAAGATCGAATGTTTTCTTGTTATAGAGCTTACGCTTATTGTTATAGTGATGGTTTTAGAAAGTATTCCGGTCCTATCCCATCAAGGTCCGAACTTTCCCTCGATATTTTGAATAGTCATAGCCCCTTCGGACTCACGCCGAGAACCTCCGAGAATACCCGAGAAGCGTGAATGTGATCGATTTTTCGCCGTCTCGTTCTCGCGCTCGCCTGTTCTCCGACCGGTGTCGGTTTTTTTGCCCGCTTCAAAGAGTTTTTTTGGGCGAGAAAGACTCTCGTTTAGATCTCAGTGTGATATGGGAAATCACGGTATTCCGACGTTGGGTGTTTTATTTATTTCTTAGTAAGAAAAAGTTATTTAACATGTGGGATAATGTAGCAGAACTTAAGTTCATCGAACATTTCCAAACAGAGCCCATTTTGTGGGACACAAAACTCCGTTATTACAAAGACCGAAGTCTTAACAATGACGCTTGGAGTAGAATTGGAGAATTAATGGACAAACCGGTACCAGAACTCAAAAAGAATAAGGAATCACTTTTTGCAAGTTACCGCAAATATAGAAAGATGGTTAAAGATTCATGCCGATCGGGTGCTGGGGAAGATGAAATATACAAACCAATATGGTTTGCCTATGATGCCCTGGACTCATTTTTTGTGTGATGCGCTTACTGTGAGGCCAACAATAAACACGATCAATTAATGTAAGTAGCCTTTATTACAATAAAATTTACAAAAATTCTCTAAATTAACTTATATTGAAAAAATAGTTTTCAAACTCCTCTCGTACTTGGTTAGCGCTAGCAGCTGCTCGGCGCGCAATGGGTGGCAAATTTCTAATAGCATTAGTGCTTGAAATTTCTCTACGCCATGCACCAGGGCGAATAATATTGTCGTCACTATCGTAAACATCAACAGTGCCTGGGGGAGAATATATTTGTGAAGAATTATTGCTGTACATTAAATAATTATGTAATAAAATACAAGTCATGGTAATAACAGAAGCTTTTTCAGGGCATTGCTCGATTGGCCTTTTAAATACTTGAAACCTTGAAGCCAATATTCCAAATGTATTCTCCACAATCACGCGTGATCCAGATAGTTTTTGATTAAATATTCGTTCAGGACTGTTCCTGTTGTGGTTTCCACGATAAGGTTTCATGATGTTCATGTGTAGTGCAAATGCACCATCTCCCAAAAACACATCATCATCATCATCATCATCATCACAGCCCTTCACAAGTCCACTGCTGAACATAGGCCTCCCCCAAGTAATGCCACAAAGCACGGTCCTGAGCCACCTGCATCCATCGACTTCCTGCATATCTTACCAGGTCGTCACTCCATCTAGTGGGGGGTCGCCCTACACTACGCCTACCGGTACGAGGCTGCCACTCGAGAACCTTTCTTCCCCATCGGTTATCGGTTCTTCGAGCTATATGGCCGGCCCATTGCCACTTCAGCTTACTAATCCGTTGGGCTATGTCGGTTAATCTGGTTTTACTGCGGATATCCTCATTTCTGAGTCTATCACGCAGAGAAACTCCGAGCATAGCCCTCTCCATAGCTCGCTGAGCGACCTTGAGCGTCCTCATACGGCCAGCAGTGAAGGACCACGGCAGAATCGCTGGAGGACTTAAGCACTATGCTCAATGACCTCAATAGTGCCTCCCAACGGATAGGTCTTAAGATGAACACGGACAAAACAAAGATTATGTTTAATGTCCATGTCACACCTATGCCGGTAGTTGTTGGGAGCACTATGCTCGAAGTTGTTGACGAGTACGTTTACCTGGGACAAATAGTCCGACTAGGTAAGTCCAAATTCGACCGAGAGGTCAATCGACGGATTCAACTCGGCTGGGCAGCGTTCGGGGAAATTACGACATATCTTCTCGTCAGGTATACCTCAATCTCTGAAAACTAAAGTGTACAACCAGTGCGTGTTGCCAGTGATGACTTACGGATCAGAGACGTGGTCCTTCAAAAACACATATGGTATATCAATAGTAGAGCCTGGCAGTGGACGTGGTGCTGGTAAATTTAGAGTATTATTACAAATCCTATCCCATAGCACAGTATTGCGCAATATTCCACCATCACTTATTCTACCTTGACCACCTATATCAGCAAAAATAAATTTATATTTACTTTCGACTAATGCCATAAGCACAATACTGAAAGTTTTCTTATAATCGAAGCATTCGGAGGCTGAGTTAGGTGGACATGTCACAACAATATGTTTGCCATCTATTGCACCAATAGCTCTAGGAAATTTAAAACTAAATCCTTTTTTCGATTTCCAACCATTCTTCTGCAAACGATGGAATCTGAAAAAGAATGAATTATTTGGGTTACATGTATACCTATACATACTTATAAGATATTATTATTTTTTAGATTGAAGAACCAGGCTCTAGTACTACTGAAGTGGAAACGATCAATGAAAATAGAAACGATACAAAAACATCACAGACGAAGATGACCAGTAGATTACTTCAGGGCGAGTTGAAAGAAGCTGGAAAGCATGTGAAGGATGCTATAAGTATTTTTCAAGAAACCATCAAAAAAAGAGAATCGCAAACCTTCCAACACGATTATGTATGCAGTGGGGTTAGCGAAGAAATTACGAGCATTCTCTGAAGATGAAAGACTAGATATTATGTATGAGATCGATGGTATGATTATTAATCGCCGCCGTGCGTTGCGTCCAAACAGATTTACAAATACTACAATCAATCCATCTTCTGAATGCATACGATCATCATCTGCACTGTCATTCTATTCTGAACCACTGCCACGCGGAGTTGTTTATAGACAATACCCGCATAGCATATTCCGAACCACCACAAATTCATATACCAGAAGAACAACACACACGCCAAGTTTATTTGCAAAATGAAGATGCACAAGTTGGCTCAAACGTGCAGATACTTTCAAATGAGCTGTTGCAAGAAAGTCAGCTATCTGACGTTATTTCTCTAGCTTACAAAGATGCTTAATTTATATAAAAAAATGAAGCTAATTTCCTTTAGATTATAAGTACAATTTTCTTTTTATAAGTAGGTAAATATTAAGTCATAAATTCAGATTAAGTTCTTAATAAATATTTTAAACTTATTTACCTGTATTTCATTTTGCAAAACTTGATTTAAGCTTCACATACTTCTGGAATAATTGTAGAAATCAATTGTGGTGACACTTTAAACAAAAAATGAAGGCTTTGAAAGCTATCTCCGGTGGCCAAGTATCTTAATGTTATTGCTAAACGCATTATAGCTGGTAAAGCTTGTCGCAGTTGTGTATCTTGTTTACTTATTAATGGAGAAATCTTGTTATGTAAATATTCAAAATCAACTGTTGACATTCTAGTAAACTTTTCTCCACTTGGTTCAGCAACTAGTTCTCCCAGTTGTTTTTGCATAGTAAAGCTGCAACAGAAAGTATTCAGAATTAAAACATCGACTTTTCTTACACATTATAATTACATCAATTAAAAAAAAGATCTGCAAACCTTGTTCTATTTCGATGAATTTCCGTCATCCACCATCGCCTGCACCTTCTTTTTTTCTAATTTGTTTTCTGATTTTGATATTAACAAGATTATAGTATGCAAATGCACACAAAACTAAAGCCGCTGCACTATCAAAATCGTCCATACGGTAGCGAGGAGAACAGTAAGTGAGAAACATCGTGAGTGTGAACAAACA